TCGTTTCACTCCCCACATCTTCCTGACCCTGTCTCCTAGCTCCTGCTTCTCGTCTCCGCCCGCGCCTCCTTTCCAACTCCACGTCCCCCTTCCTGCCTCTCCCTTCCTGCTTTTCCTGGGCCGGCTGCTCCCTCCCTTCTTCCCTCGCTCTGCTCCCTCATCCTGGCTGCGGCGGATGAAATGGGAGGTGCAGCGCCCGTGGACGCCTGGGCTCAGGGGCTCTGGGAAGGGAGGGGTTAAGGGGGCCTTGGGCCGGGGAGTGGGAAAGTAGACGGCTGGGACGTGTAGGACATCAAGTTTTGGAGAAGAAAGCCAGCCTGGGCCAGGGTTTGGGGAAGGGAAGAATTAAGGACTTCTAGTTTCGGTCGCGGTCAAATCCTGGGGGGCAAAGAAGAGAATGATAGGTGAGAAGTGCCAAGATGCCAGAAGAGAGGTTGGGGTTTCCCCGTGGGGCTCAGAGATGAAGGAGTGAAGGGGCAGTGACTTCTAGGTTTTGGAGGGGAAAGGGTTCACATTACCCGGATCTGGTGGGGAGAAGGGTATCTGGACCGGGAGGGTGTCTTGGGCTAGGAAGGGGGGGCGGTGTCTTGTCCTCCCTATTTGCCGAGACTGGCGCTGGAAGACTGTGCCCTCCTGGGTTCCAGCACCCTGCAGTAGAGGGTGCTCCTCAGTAGGGGTAACTGGCACAGTACTGTGGAGAAGAGGCCAATCAGAAAGCAGATCCCAGCATAGTCGCCAATGAGGAGCATAGGGTGGGACTCAGTGGGGCCAGGCTGGGCAGGGCCTGTTTAGGTAGGGAGAGGAATTAGTGAGTGTGGCAGAGAGGGCATCCAATCAGAAAGCTGGGTGCCAGGCATCTGGCCAATGGAGCAATTTGGAGTAGAGCCAAATTTGAATTGAGCAGAGAGCCAATTTTGACTGCATCAGGAAAGATGGGTAGTATAAAATAATCGGGTGGCTGGGCTTGTGCTTTGCCCTCAGGATGAGCCCATGGGGATGTTCTGTTCATAAATATTCCTTGCTACCCTTCCACTTCCCTGCCTTTGTCTAGCCCCGTGCTTCCTCCTGATTCTTGACCTCGGCTCTTAGTACTGGCTTCTGTCCTTCTCAAATACTGCCCGCTTGGAACCCTCATCCTCTGATCTCTTAAGGCCCTGTCTCTACCCTAACCATGACCCTCAGTCTCTCATGCTGATGGCCTCTCCTGCAGATGCCCTGCTGTCTGATCTGGAGACCACCACTTCACACATGCCAAGATCAGGGGCTCCGAAAGAGTGCCCCACAGAGCCACTCACGCCTCCCTTACCCTATGGCCACCAATCACAGGTGAGATCAGATGCTGGGACTAGAGCAGCCACTAGGACCAGGCCTGGCATCTCACATGTTCATCTCCTCTCTGTAGACAGGGTCTGGAGAACCTTCAGGAATCTCTGGAGACAAGGACCATCTGTACAGGTGAGGGGCCTGGGAACTGGGGGATGGAAAATCCGACTGGGGCTCAGGTGAGGAGACTTGGATTCCTCACCACTGAACCCAGCCCCCTACTCTGTTTCCCAGTACGGTATGCAAGCCTCGGTCTCCAAAGCCTGCAGCCCCAGCGGCCCCTCCATTCTCCTCTTCCAGCGGTGTCTTGGGTACTGGGCTCTGTGAATTAGACCGGTTGCTTCAGGAACTTAATGCCACCCAGTTCAACATCACAGGTACCAGGGTGACTGAGCCAGGCCTTGATAGGATGGGGGTAGAGCAGGGAAGAGCAGGGACTAAGGGAATATACTTCCCAAATGGCAGCTAAAGGGACTCAGCGCCTTAACTGGAAGGGTGGGTTAAGCATGGGCCTATATCCAGTGTTCTTCTCTTCTCTCTCCAGATGAAATAATGTCTCAGTTCCCATCTAGCAAGGTGGCTGCAGGGGAGCAGAAGGAGGACCAATCTGAAGACAAGAAAAAATCCAGCCTGTGAGTTGGCATAGTTGGCAGGGCAGGGAGCAAGGGGTTGGCCCTGGATGTCTGAGTTACTAGAGAAAGTGTTATTCTGGGAGGCTCGGAGATGACCCAAGCTGTGTTCTTTGCAGCCCTTCCAGCCCATCTCCTGTCCTCCCAAAGCCTTCAGCCACCTCAGCCACTCTGGAGCTGGACAGACTGATGGCCTCACTCTCTGACTTCCGTGTCCAAAATCATGTGAGTCAGGCAGGGTGTGGACTGGTGTCAACTTGTGGCTCCCCAAGCCATTCTAGACCCTACCACAACTGCTGCCTTGCTGACTCAACTCTCATGTCCTCCCCACTGCAGCTTCCAGCCTCTGGGCCAACCCAGCCACCAGTGGCGAGTTCCGTGAACGAGGGTCCCCCATCCCCACCAGAGTCAACTAGCAAGGGCAGCCTAGACACCATGCTGGGGCTGCTGCAATCTGACCTCAGCCGCCGGGGTGTTCCCACACAGGCAAAGGGCCTCTGTGGCTCCTGCAATAAACCTATTGCTGGACAAGTAAGTGGAGCCCTGTGCGACGGAAGGCAGAGACCCACAGACTCATTTTTACTGAGAGTCAGGCTTTGTGCTGTTCCCTTTTAATAAATAACTGCGAAGTGGGTATCATTGTTACTCATATTTTGTGGATGAGAAAAAGGAAACTCTGAATCTCTTAGCAGGTAAGTGGTAGGGCAATGATTCCAACCTAGTTACCATTTATTGTGGTCCTACTGTGTGCCAGGCACTGTGCTAGCTCCTTTGCAAACTTCATCTCATTTAATCTTCACAAGAGACTCATTGGCTCTAACCACCATCTCGCAAGCATCCACAAACACCTGGGAACTCTGGTTCTTGACTTATTGACTGAGCAGATGTGATTGACAACAGCTGTGCTCATTGGTGGACTTAGAGCCTCCTGCTAAATAAAGCACCCGACTTCCATCCCAGAATTGCCAATCTCAGCAAAGCAGGGTGGCATTATGCCTTCTGTGGCCAATTTCATCCTCATAGGTTCCTTCTTCCATTACAAAATTAAAAATTGTATTTTTGGCCTTTTTGGGTATAAAGATGACTATATTCATATTATATACATTAAACACTTTTCTTCTAATTCATATTTCATTCTGATTTTAAATGAAATTTGAACTTTTTTTATGGGCCCCTAAAAGTATTGTGGGCCCTAGGCACTGTGTCTGCCGTGCCTCATGAATAAGTCAGCCTGGAGCAAAGCTCCAAGATCTGGATTGAGTCTCCAACCCGGGCTGCATGATCTAGAACATTAAATTCTTCATCTTTACCTCTCAGAGATAAGACTTGAAAAGTGCCATGTAAACCTCAGCTTTCTGGGCATGTGGCAGTCAGAAAGCCACTGTGACCCGGGCTTCACCCACCACTGGCAGGTGGTGACGGCACTGGGCCGTGCCTGGCATCCTGAGCACTTCGTTTGCGGTGGCTGCTCCACGGCCCTGGGAGGCAGCAGCTTCTTCGAGAAGGAGGGAGCGCCCTTCTGCCCGGAGTGCTACTTCGAGCGCTTCTCGCCAAGATGTGGCTTCTGCAACCAACCCATCCGACACGTGAGCCCCGCCTGGCCCGGCCCTGCAGATCCCGCCTCTGTCTCATTCGGCATCGTCCGGATCGGTCCCGCTAGAACCCACCCCAACCCTAACCCCTTGGCAACGGCCACGACCCCTCGGACTCTGCTTTCCCTCTCTGACTCCCAAATCCCTTGCTAGATCTGCCAGGCCCCTAGACCCATACCTTAGTCCAGTCACTCAGGTTCCGAGAGGGAGAGGGAAGCGAAGCGGGACGGAGGGCGGCGCTGAGTGTCCCCTTTCACTCCCCGCAGAAGATGGTGACCGCCTTGGGCACCCACTGGCACCCAGAGCATTTCTGCTGCGTCAGTTGCGGGGAGCCCTTCGGAGATGAGGGTAAGAGAGGGCTCGACTCCCGCCTTAAAAGCTGCAGATCTGCTCGACATGTCCCAACCTCTCCGATCTCCGGAGTCCCTGGGGCCATGCATTTCCTCCTGCTTTTTTTCTGGCCCTGCTCTCTCCCACACGCGGGTCGTATCCCAGCCCTTTCTCCCCGGTTCCGCCTCCCAACCTCCCCTCACCTGCTCTCTCCGACGGCTTCTCCTCCGGCCCCCCGGTCTCAGATCCCGTGGCTCCCCAGTCCGCCCGCACCCTTTTCTCTCAGCCCACTCGGCTCCCGCCTCTAGGTTTCCACGAGCGCGAGGGCCGACCCTACTGCCGCCGGGACTTCCTGCAGCTGTTCGCCCCGCGCTGCCAGGGCTGCCAAGGCCCCATCCTGGATAACTACATCTCGGCGCTCAGCGCGCTCTGGCACCCGGACTGCTTCGTCTGCAGGGTGCGCGGCGGCGGGAGGGGACCTCAGAGAAATGGGTCCAGGCGGGCGGGACTGGGGGCCTCGGGTGGGGCGGTCTTCCCTGGCAGGGTCCTTCTGGAGGTGAGGCTTCGCGTCCGGGGCGGGACTGCGGGGTGGCCCCGTGTGCGATTCGGCGAGTTGTCCGGTCGGGGCGTGGCCGCTGACCTGTCCCCTCTGGGCCTCCCTTCCCCAGGAGTGCTTCGCGCCCTTCTCGGGAGGCAGCTTTTTCGAGCACGAGGGCCGCCCGCTGTGCGAGAACCATTTCCACGCGCGGCGCGGCTCGCTGTGCGCCACGTGTGGCCTCCCAGTGACCGGCCGCTGCGTGTCTGCCCTGGGCCGCCGCTTCCACCCAGACCACTTCACCTGCACGTTCTGCCTGCGCCCACTCACCAAGGGCTCCTTCCAGGAGCGCGCCGGCAAGCCTTACTGCCAGCCCTGCTTCCTGAAGCTCTTCGGCTGACCGCAGCCCCGCGCGCCCCACCGAGAGGCCACGCCCCCCAGGACCCCACCCTTCCGCAGAAGTCCCAGCCCCCCAGACCCCGAGGCCTTGCTCCTGCAGCCTGGGGCGGCCCCCCAGACCGCCCCGCTCTGCGAGGCCTCGCCCACTGGAGAGACCGCCCCTAAGGTACTCTATGTTCTGGGGCCAAGTTCAGAAAAGGCCCAGCCAGTCCTAAATCCACACGCCCCGAAAGTGGATCGCACACTGATCCCGCGCGAGTCTTCACTCGATTCCCACCCTCGAGGGCGCCCCCTGACCGCAGGCAGGTCCTTGCAATTCCGACTCATCAGAGGCCAGGCCCGGACGTCCCCGCTCCCCACTCCCTCACTATTCTGTGCACTTTTTTCTACCTACATAAACACACACATTCCACGTCTCTCTGGTGCTTGAGTCTCAATGCGCGGAAGAGCCCCACCCCCGGTGCTGGCTCTGTCCCCGGCGGTCTCCAGGCCACCGTCCTGTGGCCCGAGCGGTGCTGCAGCCTCAGCCCTGGCAGGGGGACACTCCTGTACTCCTACTTCAAATAGGCTGGAAATTGGCCGCCCGTGCAGGATTGCACCGATAGTGGCAGAGCCAGGGCAAAAACTCGAACTGGGGCCCATCCAATCTTCCGGCCCCCATTACTCCCGTTTTCAGTTTCCTATATTCTTTTTTATTTTTAGTTTTTGAGTCGGGGTCCCACTCTGTCCCCCAGGCAGGAGTACAGTGACATGATCACGGCCATCGCAGCTTCCATCTCCCTGGCTCAGACAATCCTTCACCTCGGCCTCCTGAGTAGCTGGTACTACAGGCGTTTGCCACCAACACGCCTGACTAATTTTTTGATTTTTCTTCGGGAGAGGTGGTCTTGCTATGTTTCCTAGGCTTGTCTTGAACTCCTGTGCTCAAGCAGTCCTCCTGCCTCAGCCTCCCAAAGTGCTAGGGTTACAGGTGTGAGCCACCACACCTGGCTGACTCCGTATATTCTTCTTCTTCTTTTTTTTGAAAGCAAGACTTAATGAGATGACAGAAAAGCTCCCACAATGGGAGGGGACCCGAGGGGGTTGCCCCTCCCCATATTCTTGAAATAAGTACTTAAGCTGCTTCCCCTCCTGCCGTGGCTTTGTTTGGTTCCCAGATATTTTTTCCCCTTAAAAGACCTTAGGAGTTCCATGCAGAGTGTCAATTTATGCCTATCCTTTGGATCTAGGCCCTAAAATACAGCTTCCCTCTTGCTAGTATTGACCTAAAACACCTCCAATCACTGGTAGGTTTCATGTGGCCATGGCCCAACTTAACCTTTTCTCATCCCCCACCCTCAAATATCCACATCGAGGTAGGGCGGTCAGTATGTTTGGAATCATTATTTGCTTTCCCTGTTGGTTCATCAGTCACTGCTTGAGATTTTTCCTGGCCCAGTCCTGTGCTAGGTCCACAGAGATGAGGCAGTTCTAGGCAGTCACTGCCCTGGGGAGCCTCAGGCTGGTCCACAAGACAGATAGGTAGAGGGTGACTTGGTGTGGCTAGGGCAGGTACCAAGGGAAGCACTGGAGGCTATAGGAGCTGGAAGGAGACTTCTAACCCACACACTGGGAGTCAAGGAAGGCTTCCTGGAGGTGGAAGAGGACAACTGAGCCAAGTCCCAGCAGAGGTGGGCAGAACCAGGGGTTTTCAGGTGTGGAGAATTGCAGGTTCCATCTAAATCCCTAAGCCCCGGGGACCCTTCTGGTTCCCAGAACTTTATCTTGGACCTCGCAGTTCCCTGGGTAAGGATCTGGACCCCTGGGTTCATACTCTGTGAAGCTTTGGTGCTGGAAATAATGGATCCTCAGAGGCCCTTCCAGCTCATCATGAAGAGCCAAGGAATGCATGTATGGGCAAGAGTAAAAGGTGACGCATCCTCAGCCCCGGTCTCTGGTAGACCTCTAGATCTTTCTCTCTCTCAGGCTCCTCTTCCTTGATCTCCCCAGCTGTCCTGCTCTTCCCGTTCACATATTCTCCCCGGGGAATGCTGTCCATCCTCTGGCATGTCACCATCTCCCTATCTTGAGGATACCCAGATTAGCTATTTCCAGTCTCCATTCATTCACCAAGTGTTTACTGAGCACTTACTATGTCAGGCTCTGGAGAGACAATGGGGAACCAAGCAGAGATGCTCCTTGCCCTTACAGAGCTGAAATCTAGTAGCGGGGACAAGACAAACAAGTACACAAGAGACAAGTGTGATAAAGGAATGGGGCCTTCCCCTGACCAGCTGGGTCAAGCCAGCTTTTCCTCTGGTTTCCACTCCATGGCACCTCCCTAGTTCCTTCATAGCATGTATCACTATTGTGAATAGGTGTTTATTTGCTGGTTGCTTGTGTCTGATTCTGAGAATGCCGCTTGCCATTTGGGGGGAGAGAAGCTTTTGTTGAAGAGGTGACATAGACTGAGTAGGAGTTGGCCATTTGGGAGGCAGAGAGGTGCTCTAAGCAGAAGGCACAGCCTATGCAAAGGTTTGAGGGGTATGAAAATATCTGGGCAGAAAAGGAAAGAAAATATATGGGCTGGGTAGGTAAAGGGAGTGGGAAAGGAAACAAGAAGCAAGAAGGAAGGGTAGGCTGGAGTCAGAGCATGGCAGGCCTTGGAAATCAGGCGGAAGAGCTTGTACTTCCTCCTGAGTGTGATGGGGAGCTACGGAGGGTTTCTGAGGACAGGAGTGACACTGTCAGATTTGGGTTTGAAAATGATTCCTCTGGATTAGTCAAAACCAGGGGGCTGGCTTAGTCAGGCTCCCTAGGAAGAGGGAAGGTACACATTTTTAGAGAATGAAAGAGGTGATTTTGAGTCTGGGGCACCATGGAGAGGGTGCAGGCTAAGGCCTAGGAAGGAGTGCTCCTGAACTTGAAAGGACACAGCTCCCCAGGACCAGCCTTCGGCCTGGATATGACCTGATTCAGCTAAACAAAGCTGGGGAGGGGGGATGAGACCAGGGGGACTTGTCGGCTCACTGCCCCTGAGGTAACCATTAATCCTTCCCCAAGGGGAATCCAAGGGCTGGTCCATTGAGGGGCAGATCTTGGGCAGAATGGAGGAACACACGGAGGCAGGCCTGGCACCAGAGCTGGGGGACCCGCAGGTCTTAATCGACAATCCTGCTGACATCCTGGTCATCACTGCTTATTTCCTGCTTGTCATTGGCGTTGGCTTGTGGGTGAGAAGTTGAGGGGATGCTGCTGGGGACTGGGCCTCTGGAGCCTGAGGGGCAAGTCTCAGAGAGACCCTAGGTGGGGGAAGAATGCCTGGACCTCTGAGGGGAAAACCCAGAGCTGGGGGGCAAGCAGGTCTCAGGGAGCCCCAGCCAACATTCAGTTCTTATATTCCCACCTTTGGATTGTGCCAGTGGAGGGATGTTGATGAATTTTCATCAGGGTCAGCATTTTAAATGAGGTCTCAGTTCCCCTGACCAGCACCTCCTATCCAGAGCCCCCAGGAAAGTCAGGCCAAATCCATCTGCAATAAGACTGGGGTACTTAGGTACTAGGATTAGGGCTTAGGTTGCTCTGGATGTCTGGGAGGAGCTTGGGGGTGGGGGGGTGCAAACAATCGGGGGGGTGAGTGCTGGTTAATCTTCAGCCTGAAACAAGGCTGAGGAATGTGTTGAAGAGGCTAATGAGGTCCAAAGATGTGCCCCGAACCCAGGTCTCCCCCGACTTCTGTCCCCAGTCCATGTGCAGAACCAACAGAGGCACTGTCGGTGGCTACTTCCTGGCAGGACGAAGCATGGTGTGGTGGCCGGTGAGCAGGGCTAGGCCATAGAAGGGGAGGGGGTCTTGAGAAGCCACCTGGCTCACCCCCACCTCTGGCCATCCAGGTGGGGGCCTCTCTCTTCGCCAGCAACATTGGCAGTGGCCACTTTGTGGGCCTGGCAGGAACTGGTGCTGCAAGCGGCTTGGCTGTGGCTGGATTTGAGTGGAATGTGAGGCTTCTTTGTTTTTTTCTGGAAGGGTCACACCCTGGAGAAGCTACAGGTGGGGAGTTGGGATATGAGGCTGCAGGTGGGACTCCCTAATTGGAGGGTGTGGTTGGGCTGGGAGTGGGGTCAACATCCAGCCTGGAGGCAGAAGGATGCATGAGATGACCACTTCCAGGGCAGGGGTGGGTCCTACTCCTGACTTGCTTTGTGGGCCCATGCCAGCCACTACCCTCTGTGGGCCTCGATTTACTCCTCTTTGATGTGGGGTGAGCAGCCTCAAAGATGGAGAAGCACCTGTTCTGATGCTCTCTGAAGTTGTGGTCTGTGAGGATCTCTAGGCCAAATTGAAGCCCTCTGCAGAAGTGAGAAGAGGAGACAAAACTCTGGGACTGAGACTCACCTTGGAGAGTTGGAGAGATCAGGGTCAATTTGAGCTCAGGGCTTCCTGGAGGAGGAGGGACCTCTGAGCCTATTCTTGAGGTTTGGGTGGGTAGGGAAGAGAGGGGAGGCAGCACTGCCTGGCAGACGCTGGGGTCATCTGAGGGGTTTGTGCTTGGGTTCATATGCTAAAGAGGGTGTTGGGGGGAACACAGGGACCCTCATGGGAGGGACTAGCCAGGGGTGATGGCCTGGAAGGGAAAGGAGGGCTCTAGTTAAGGGCCCAGAAGGGTGTTGATTCTATTACCTAATGCCCAGGGCCTGGGGCCATCACCTGCAGTTGTCCTCTGGACCCCAGGTGTGACCCTTCCCAGGGCCACTTGCCATGGGGCAGCACATTCACGAACAGAAGTTGTCTCAAATCTTTCAGAAGTGAAGGCAGGCTCATGGCAGGATCTCAGACATGGAGCCATCCTCAGCTGTCATGCTGTGCCCGCAGGCGCTGTTTGTGGTGCTGCTCCTGGGCTGGCTCTTCGCGCCGGTGTACCTGACTGCGGGTGTCATTACGATGCCGCAGTACCTGCGCAAGCGTTTTGGCGGCCATCGTATCCGCCTCTACCTGTCTGTCCTCTCACTTTTTCTGTACATCTTCACCAAGATCTCGGTGAGCACGCACCATGGGATGAGGCCCTAGGAGGGCGGGGTCACCCAGTAGAGAGCTATAGAGAGCCTTGGAGGGTGTGGGACCAAGGAAAAACTACTGTAAAAATCATGATGGAGGCTGCTGCCCTGTTCACAGTGGTGGGACCTGGGAAGGCCAGGACATCGATAAATGAGGACTCTTTTGAGGCTTGTCCCATAGGGTCGTGGCCAGAACAGGAGGTGGACCTGGGTCACTGTCCTGATCCCTGGGTCCTGACCTGCATGCTTGCTCCTTCCCCCAAGGTGGACATGTTCTCCGGGGCGGTATTCATTCAGCAGGCTCTGGGCTGGAACATCTATGCTTCTGTCATTGCGCTCCTGGGCATCACCATGATTTACACCGTGACAGGTGCTGGCAGGGGCTTAGGGAAGGGAGCTTGCCTGGACACGTGCTGGGAGCCATGGGTGGGTTTAGTGGAGTCACCAGAGGAAAGTGGGGTGGAGAGGTTTGGAGGTGTGATGTGATCCAAGTCGGAGAAGGAGCTAAATGCTTGGAAAGCAAACTCTCCCTTTCTCCCCATTGTCCCTTGGATTTGGGCTGGAAGTTCAGAGCATTGAACCTGTGCTGGGCCTGAGTGGGGCTTGTGGCAAAAGGACGATTCAGCGGCTATTGTCCTCCTTGAATGCTTGGGAGAGTGGATCTGACCTGTCTCCAACATCTCTGGCCAAACCCAGTGCAGTTCAGAGGGTCTTGGGGTGGGGCCTGAGATCAGGTGGGGCCTGGTGGTGAGGTGGGCTTGAGAGGTCGCCCTGGGAAGGGATGGAACTGAGAATTGGACCTTAGGGAATCACCCCCTCCTACTATCCAGAGGAAAACCTGGGGCCCAGCGAGGGCCTGTAAGTGGGGTCCTGCACGTGAGGACCTGGCCAAGAGGGCTTCAGTGGAGCTTAAAAGTCAGCCACACTCTGCCCACCAAGCTCTTCCTCCTCATGCCCAAGTGATAAGCCTTTTGAAATTTGTTCTTCAGAAAGGGGTACCTATTCTGAATTCTCAAAGGCATCGTATGCGCCTGTCTGTGAGGTCAGGAGCTGGGCTGTCCTCACTGACCCAGGGCTGTTGCAGGAGGGCTGGCAGCGTTGATGTACACGGATACGGTGCAGACCTTCGTCATTCTCGGGGGGGCCTTCGTCCTCATGGGTTACGGTATGGAGCTCAGCCAGTGCGGGCAGGGCGAGGGGGTCTAGGCCGCAGAGCTCTCTACCTGGGAGCAGCGACATCGCGAGTCTCTGACACGTGGGCCCCAAGGAGGGCCTTGGCATCGGTGCCAGATGCCCTGACGGCCTTGCCTACACAGCCTTCCACGAAGTGGGCGGGTATTCGGGTCTCTTCGACAAATACCTGGGGGCAGTGACTTCGCTGACGGTGTCCGAGGACCCGGCTGTGGGCAACATCTCCAGCTCCTGCTATCGACCCCGGCCCGACTCCTACCACCTGCTTCGGGACCCCGTGACCGGGGACCTGCCGTGGCCCGCGCTGCTCCTGGGGCTCACCATCGTCTCGGGCTGGTACTGGTGCAGCGACCAGGTGCGGGGTCGGGACGCCGCCATCCGCGCCGGGGTGGAGCCGAGAGGGGTGGAGCCTGAGTCCGCCGGCCCCGGGGCCAGGCCGAAGGCGTGGTCTGAGGGGGCAGGAATCCGGCCAGGGTGGGGCGAAACCAGTCGCAAGGGGTGTGAACGTGGCCGAACTTGGGCACTGCTGGGCCGGAGGCGGGGCGCAAATTAGATCGGGGGCGGGGCTGGGGGTGGGTGTTGAGGCGAGGCCAGAGGGGGCGGAGTGCCGGGACCTCACGCGGGGAGCTGAACGCCCCTTGTCGCAGGTCATCGTGCAGCGCTGCCTGGCGGGGAAGAGTCTGACCCACATCAAGGCGGGCTGCATCTTGTGCGGCTACCTGAAGCTGATGCCCATGTTCCTCATGGTCATGCCGGGCATGATCAGCCGCATTCTTTACCCGGGTAACGTCTCGCCCCTCCCAGCCCCGGTCTTGGGCAGGGATCCAGGCGCGGCCTCCCTTTTCCGTCACCCCCCTGGGATCCGGGGTCCGGCTGCCCAGTCCCGCCTCCCACCAGGGGGCCCGTCTCTCCCCTGCCGGGATTCCCAGGCTCCCCGCCAGGACCTCGGTTCCCACACCCGGCCCCGGCCCAACCGCGCCGCGGCCTCTCTCGCAGACGAAGTGGCGTGCGTGGTGCCCGAGGTGTGCCGGCGCGTGTGCGGCACGGAGGTGGGCTGTTCCAACATCGCCTACCCGCGGCTCGTCGTGAAGCTCATGCCCAACGGTGAGCCTCTGGCCCGCAGGGGCTGGGGCGCTGCGGAGACCGCCGCTGGTTGGGTCCCCCCTCGCCGAGCCCGCAGCCTCACAGCTCCCGTCGGTCCGCAGGTCTGCGCGGACTCATGCTGGCGGTCATGCTGGCCGCACTCATGTCCTCCTTGGCCTCGATCTTTAACAGCAGCAGCACGCTTTTCACCATGGACATCTACGCGCGCCTGCGGCCGCGCGCGGCGGACCGCGAGCTGCTGCTAGTAGGACGGTGTGGCCTGTGCTGCCCCCTCCACTCCAACTCCTGCTTCGCCCAGCGGCCCCGGGTGGGAGGCCTGGGGCGCCCCCAGGGTCCTGGGTTGGAACCGCACCCCTCTCTCCCAGGCTCTGGGTGGTGTTCATCGTGGCAGTGTCGGTGGCCTGGCTACCCGTGGTACAGGCAGCGCAGGGCGGGCAGCTCTTCGATTACATTCAGGCGGTCTCCAGCTACTTGGCACCGCCGGTGTCTGCCGTCTTCGTGCTAGCGCTCTTCGTGCCCCGTGTCAACGAGAAGGTGAGTGGCGCGGTGTGTGCGCCTTGTGAGCGTGGGCAGGGCTTGGACATGCTGACCAGGCCCTTCTGTCTCCCTACAGGGCGCCTTCTGGGGACTGATCGGGGGTCTGCTGATGGGCCTGGCACGCCTTATTCCTGAATTCTCCTTTGGCTCGGGCAGCTGCGTGCGGCCCTCGGCGTGCCCGGCACTCCTCTGCGGGGTGCACTACCTCTACTTTGCCATCGTGCTCTTCGTCTGCTCCAGCCTCCTCACTCTCATAGTCTCGCTGTGCACTGCACCCATCCCCCAGAAGCACGTAAGTGCCCACTTTTGGGAGGGCTGGGTGCCCCAAACAAGCCCGGTGTGGGCCAGGGTAGCCATCTCCAACCCCACCTACCCGTCTGCTTCTAGGAGCCCCCAGAGAGAAAGCCTTGCATTTCTAAACTGAGGGTTGGTGGCAGCAGGCTGCATTTGCCGAGCAACCACATTTTAATTTAAATCACATTTATTTGAAGCGGTGGTGGGGGAGGGGGGGCGGCTGAAGGTTTTGCTGGGTTGGCAATTAAAGCTCCCAAAAGCCAATCCTTGGCATGGCCTTTGGGATTCAAAACACAGGATCGGACTGGCAGCTGAGAGGGACAGAGTACCGATTTGAAAACCCACAAAAAGGTTTGGCTTTGGGTCGCTGCAGGGCAAGTTCTCCAGGGCAGGGCTCATGGTGGCAAGGTGTGGTGGGGACAGGGTGAGACAAAAGACCCCGGCCTGGAAAGACAGCACTCCACAGTAGCAGGGGAAAACTTTGTTAGCAAGTACCCAGAAGAAGGAACACAGTTAGCAGGACTGTAAGACCAGGGGCTAAAGTACTACAATCTGAGCGCAGACAGGAGATTTGGGGTGATGGAAGTGGGGGAGCAGGGTCAATGGCTTTAAAAGCCAAGTGGAGGAGCTTGGGGTTTAGCTCGGGGGCAAAGGACAGGCACAGAAGGTGGAATTTGTGTGAGTCCAGCCTGAGTTGCGTGTGCAGACTGGAGGGGGGTGGGTTAGGGAGGGCAGTGCCGTGGTTGGTGTGCCACTGTGGACAAGAGACGTTAGGGCCTGCTGTGGGGGGACAGAACTCCTACTTGGTCCCTGCTCCCACTCTTCTCTAGCTCCACCGCCTGGTGTTTAGTCTCCGGCACAGCAAGGAGGAACGGGAGGACCTGGATGCAGATGAGCTGGAAAGTTCACCACCCCCTGTACAGAATGGGCGCCCAGAGCATGCTATGGAGTTGGACGGTGAGGCACTGCCCAAGGAGGTGAGACTGGGGAGCTGGGGGAGCCAAGTTCCTGCAAACTAACTGCAGCAGCTCAATTTCTCCTAGAGCCCCAGTCCCCGGCACCAAGCCTATTCCGCCAGTGCCTGCTCTGGTTCTGTGGAATGAGCAGGGGTAGGGCAGGTAGTCCTCCACCTCCAACCCAAGAGGAGGTGGCTGCAGCAGCCAGGCGGCTGGAGGATATCAGCGAGGACCCAAGCTGGGCCCGTGTGGTCAACCTCAATGCCCTGCTCATGATGACCGTGGCTGTGTTCCTCTGGGGCTTTTATGCCTAAGGGCCAACTGTGTTGGACACTACAAATCACAGCTAGGGCAGGGCTCAGCCTCACAGGAAGTGGTGGTGGGAAGCCTGCAGTGGTCCTCAGAAACAGGGAAGGAGTGGGATGGGAAGGTCCTGATTCCCCTTCTCTCAGCCTTATCTTTGTCCTTCTGATTGGCAGTCACTTCCCGTGAGGGCTTGGCCAACCTGCCACAGATGTTCACCTAAGCAAAAATAAAGCTGCCTTTCCCACATCCTGCTGTGGCCAAAGTGTCCTCGCTCCAGGCTCCCGTCCTGGGCCCTGGCCTCTGTCTGGGCTGCTCACAAGATCTTCTTTTCTGGAGTTAGGAGCCATGTGGCCCTCCACTCATCCACCTCTAACTGGTGCTTCTCGGTCCTCCAGCCGGCATCCTGCAGTCCTAGGGGGAGATCATGGGGTATTACCAGGAATGCTGGGGAGGAGATTGTGGGCTGACCCCGGGGAGAAGGGTGAGGAGAGGCCCAGGCTGGATGCTGGCTTTGTGCACTACTTGGGCTCCCCTTGCCTCTGTTGGGTGATGTCTGGCAGAAAACAAGGCTAAAACCTCACCTGGTTGTGAGAATTCACTGAGACAATACAGAAAAGGTTGGGATGGAACAGGTGCTAAACAAAAGGTAATCACCAATAAATGTAAGCCCCACTCCCCTCTACCCCTCATTTCCCAAATGTCAACTGGGATTATACATACTGTCAACAATGATACAGCTTCAGAGACCATCTTACAGACAGGGAAAGTGAGTTCCAGATTTAAGCAAACAGGGAGAACTCATGTCCCAGGTGGAAGGGTGGAGGAAGGGGCAGGCAGGAGCACCTCATCTCATGAGCCAAGGGGCCATGGGGCTGAAGCGTGTTACCTTTCAAGAACTTTGGGAACAGCTTGTCCAATACTTGGTGCGTCTCCTTGACAAGGACCCAGCTACCTTTCTTAGGACCTGCGGTGAGTGCAGAACCAGAAGCTCTTATGTCCTTAAAGCAGGACCGAAAGCTTGCCCTTTCTCCATCCCTGCTCTAAGCCATCAGTCTAGATCAGGCTCTTACCTGCCCACATGTGGTTCCTCAGCTCCTCCAGCTCTCCTGGAAGGGGTCCATCCTGCTGTAGGGCTCCAAGCACCAGCCCATGTGTGGCAGCTCTTAGGACGACCTCAGGGCCTGCAATCTGGCTCAAAACTACCCATACCTGGTCTGGAGAGACCCAGAGACAGACTGGATCAGGGAAGAGCCACCTCCGCAAACACCTTCAACCCTATCATGCTGTTTCACGCTTGTCTGCCCCAGAGGCCTTAGCCTGGCATGGAAGGCCGTCTCCTCACCCTTTCCTTTCCAACTTCATCTCCTGTTGCTTCCCAATGCTGTGGCCAAACTGAAATGCCCAATTGCCAAATACAATGTTACAGGAGCCATTTCGTTAATGGCTAGTCAGAATCAGCACCTTTTAACACATGACTGGCAGACCAGTAAACTCAAGGGCTTGTCTACCCAAGAGGTACTCCGGAAAGGGAGAGAAGAGTATGTCCCCAGGGAGAGCGAAAGGTTATGACCTTATTTGAGTAAGTGTGCTGCAATGTACAAAGTGCTTTTACTCAATCACCTTATTTGATGCTCATAAAAACAGTACAGGTAATAAGGCAAGTATTTTTAGCTCCGTTTTATAGAGGGGTAAAGTGAATTTCATTGGAACATGCAGCTATAATTTGAACACATTAAAGTCTTGGTCTAAGCACCCTCCAGGACCACAGGCAGCCTCCAAATTGTCCAGGGCTTGGGGCTCTGAAGTTGGAGGAATGAGAGGCTGACCCTAGGAGGGTGAGTCTTAGGCTGGAAGAACAAGGCACACTTACTTCGTGACTGGTCCCAGCGAAGGAGGTAGGGTTCTTGGTGCCCCTCAAGCAGCTGCTGCAGCTCAAAAACACTGGGAAAGACAAGACAGAACAGTAGGGGAAGGGGAATGCAAAGGCAGGAGTACCTGTCCAGTCAACTGCACAGCCAGCCACCTTAATGTTAAGTCCAACTGTCTATACTTCCTCGTACTTCACTCACCCCCCCATTTCTCCCTCAGCCATTATCCACGCACCTACATCCACCCTCCTTTCTTCCTGTATCCAATCAACCATTCTCCCCATCCACCCATCCTTCTTTCATCCAACAAACATACCCCTTACTTTCCTCCCTTTTGCACCCACACTGACCCCCATGGCTGTTCAGTGAAAATGAAGAACCAAGAACAGAGAGGTGGGGCCTTGCCAGGAGAGGCCAGTATGTAGCCAGAATAAGAACCATGTGTGGGGAATGTGGGTGGCAGTTCGATGAGCAGAAGACACTGGGCCACTCACCTGGAGATCAAGCGGTGTAGGGGAACTCCCAGGGATAGAGAAAAAGATGGCCAGAAACCTGTGGGAAGCTGGAGTCAGGATGCCTAGGGAGTGGGAGAGGTTGAGAGACACAAGACTTGAGACCAAGGGGTTGGGTCACCTGTCCAGAGTGGCTCCATCTTATTGGCTGAAACAGGGTCAAGTATCTCTCCCCTCTGAAGGAAGTGCTTCAGAACTAGCTGGAGCCGGCCTTCATTTAAGGTCTCCATGACAAGGGCTCGAACTGCCCGGTAGTTGGCGTAGATGTGGAGGGCAGTGAGGAAGAAGAAACATCCAAGGCTGAGGCTGGGGCAAGAAAGTAAGGTGGCCAATGGGGGCAGAGGCCCAGCTGGGGATCTCCTTCCCACCCCTGCTTTCAGCTTACCTAAGGCAACCTGACACCAGAGGAAGCATCAAGAGACTGACCAGGAGTCCTGCTAGGTTCACCATTGTCTCCTGGAAAATGGCAGGGGGGTTGGGAGTTGGAGGTCTCCCCTCCAGGCCAGAATGAACATCCTTGGGTGCCTTTCACCACATTCCTCCTTGCTCCAGATCCTCCCAGGGATCGCTACTTTGATGGAGACACTAAGTAAACTTTTAATGCTTTTGGTGAGTGAGCTGTCATTTAAAAGAAGCCAACTGCTTCTCCCCAGGTAGATTCAATGTCCTTGGACCATCCTTCGAACATGTCTTCTTGGTTTTGCAAGAGTCACTGGAATAGCCCCACACTCAGGTACTTACTACTGTGTGAGTTGTTCCTCGTACAGAATGGGGAACTAGTTTAATTTAGTGGTTTAAAAAGGTAAATTCTCCACTGCAAGCCCTTTGGTACGTAATAACAGGCAGACAAGTTTGCAATGGAGTCAATGAAGCACACAGGAAGAAAAGAAACAAGACCCAAACCTCTTCAATGCTATTAGAACCCTTTGATGGCCAGAATGAGGTCACCCTAGGGAAAAGATCCCAAGCTGCCTGCCCCAACTCCTTATGAGGGAGGAGGGGTCTTGATTGGTACCCCTGACTACTGGGGTCTCTGGAAGACTTGGTCCTGGCACAGAGAGGACCAGAGGTTGGAGACCTCTTTTTACCCAGCCCTCCTGGGAAGGGGGTAGGCTATAGGTGTGGTGTAAACTGGGGATCAGGGGCTTTGGGACCTCGGGAGCAGAGGGACCTCCTCTGTAGCCATATCAAGTGGTAACGAGGCAACATCAGCAGAAAGCAGTGGCCTACTGTGAGACTCAGCCTCTGTGGACTGAAGAAGTTCTGGGACCTTGGAAAAAAATAGCTTGGGAGTAGGGGAAGGATGAAGGCCAGTATGACAGCAGGTGAGTGAGGGCAAGCATGACGCTGAGAGATTCTAAAGTGAAGGGCCTGGCTTTACCTATATTTTGCTCTTTAACAACCTATGGATTTACAGCTGGAAGAGACAATGGGCAAGAACTAATCCATGCATTTCCTGAGAGAAGGGACTTGCCCAAGGGCATCCAGGGAGATGAGGCCTCTCTATGCTTTTTCCCATCTATAAAATGCCAAAAGTGAGTACTGCACAAGACCATTGTAAAAATTTAATGAGTTCACAGAAATGCTTGGGACATGGTTAGCATTTAATAAATATTAATTTGTGTTAATATTATTGAGCCTGAAAGAGGAGGTCAGACAGCAGCACTGGATAGAACAGAGGTTTCTGAAGTACTTTAATGTCAAAGAAAACCATCTCACACTTTTGGGACTTTCTTGGGACTTCCTTTCTTCATCTGTGAAATAGGGATAATATTATCTATATCTACATATATCTATCTATAATATAATAATATTATCTACCTCATAAGGTTGGTATGAGAGTTAAATGATGCAACGCACACAAGTATTTAACACAAGGACTCGGGGGAATCTAATACACGTAGGGTTCAGTCTTAGGGGTGTCTCTACCCCCACTCCAAGCTCTTGCGTGCAGATGGAGGATCTGGGCCAGAGGAGCCTGTTAAATTGCTGAGTGGAGACCTCTGGCCAGTGACTCCAGCAACTCTACACATTGGGTACCTTCTGACTTGCCAAATGCCTTCACATGTGGGGCTTCATGTGATCAGAACATCTAGCTCCCTGGGTGGGGCTATGGCCTGGAGGGGGAGAGGGTGAGGGTAAGGATTTACTCTCAGCCACACAGGCGGTGGGCAGGGCCCGAGAAGATTTGCACAGATTTGTTGCTGCCAGAGCCAGTGCCCTCATACCTGACTATGTGTCTTGAGAGTCAGAGCAGGGAGAACCTATATTTCTTCCAGTTCCCTATCCCCACAGGGCACTCAGGTACTTCTCTCCATACTCTCAAACTATGGCCTACTCTGGCTCCTTCCCCACTCCCACACCATCCTTTCAACCCTGGCTGCTCACCTGGCTGCTGTCCTTGGCTGACACGTCGGCCATGTTGTTTCTCCGGGCCTGGTGCATGGTCAGTGCAGCCCGAGTGGCCCCGCCAGCCACACTCACAATGCACTGGATGGAGAATGGGAAGAGCAAAGGTCAGAGCAGCCATGTGCCATGGGTAACACGGGTGCTCAAACCAGCTTGAGAAAACAAGGCCTCAGGTGACCCCATAGCAAAACCCTGAATGCTGTCCTTGGCATCTAGTTCTCACCCCTGTACTCCCTAGGCCCACCTCCCCGTCTCATTCCAGAAGAAAACTAAGGTCCTGCCTGCCACTATCACCCTGTGGACCTGACCCCACAGAAACTCAATTTCCTTCCTAAGGTGGAGGCCTAAAGGTCCTTTTTAGCCCAGGACTTCTCCACTCTCCAATTCTTACTTTGGCTACACCCTCCTGTTTTGCTGAGTTCCCAGGTTCGGTCTCATTTCCAGCTTTATGCTTCCATTCTGCCTGCCTGCAATTCCTGCCCCAGTTAAGGCTTATCCAGCATGCCAGGCCAGTTCAAAACCTACACTTGGTGGCCCTGACCTCCCAGGGCACTCAGATCTTTCCATCTGAGATCTCAGGATAAAGTTTATCAGTGGGGGGCACTGATCACCTTCATTCACTTTATATTTATCAAGACTCTTTTAGATGCCATACAGATTTAGGTATTGGGATAGAGTTAAACATAGGCTTACCCTCATGAAGAATACAGAACAGTAGATAATAAACAAATAAGTTATTATACAGGCAGAGGAAATAGTGAGTTCAAAGGCAAGAGAAATGTGATACAAAATGAGGCTGGAGTGACTTGCAGGACCTGACCATGTGGAGCCTTGCAAGCCTTGTTAAGGTCTTTACCCTAAGAGCAATGGGGCAGGGAAGTGACCTGATTTGATTTTCACTTTGAAGCGACTTTTGGGCTGCTCTGAGAGGGACTGAAGAGGGGCAAGAGTGGAAGCAGGGAGACTACCTAGGAAGTGACAGAGAGATGGAGGAGTGAATGCACTGGATTTTGGAGTTAAAAATAACAGAATTAGTGGAGGCTTAGCTGAGGGTGACAGATGAAGCGGGATGAGGAGGAGGATGATGACAGCCAGGTTCCTTTTGGTGTGGCTAGGGGATGGAGGTATTGGCCACTGAGATGGGAACTCTAGAGAGGAATCTTTTTTTTTTTTTTGAGTTGGAGTCTCACTCGGTCACCCAGACTGGAGTGCAGTGGCCACTTCTGGCCACCACAGCCTCGACCTGCTGGCCTCCGGCGATCCTTCCGCCTCAGCCTTCCGAGTGGCCGG